CGATTATGTATGGAACAATTACGCGATAACCACAAACAGTCTGCTGAACCATCCGCTGTTGTATTCCGGAGTACTAAATGTTACCAGTGATCTGTGGGACCATATTGAATATGCACGCAAGGTCGAATATGCAAAGTTTCATTCTAACAATTCCGCGCTGACCATCGGATTTTTGCTCTGTTTTGGTTTGCCCTTTTACAAGCTGACGAGCGGCCTATACTATAATCAACAGTGGCATAAGCATATCCGTGCGTGCAGAAGATTTATCAAGCCTAAAGATCTTATTATTGTGAAGCGTTGGTTGGAGCACGCAAAGATGGTGGAGTAGCAGTTTTTGTTACCACTTTTTATTACGTTTTTTCGTTTCTTTTTACTTTTAACAGATTCTTTCGTTACTACTATTGTAATTGTAAAAAGTAATATTTCCATATTTTCTTGAAAAATATTGCTCATCTTTTTAACTCTTTAGTTTTCAAATATGTCTGACTCGCCTCCAAGAAAAAAACCAAGAATATTTAAGCCCAATGTCAATGTTTTGCGCAAAAAACGTATACCCGTCGATCCAAATGTTGCGCCTGTGCCCACTGTGCCTGGCGTGCCTGGCATTTCTGCAGCTGAGTCGCCTCCACGAATAAAACCAAGAATATTTAAGCCCAATGTCAATGTTGTGCGCAAAAAACGTATACCCGTCGATCCAAATGTTGCGCCTGTGCCCACTGTGCCTGCCGCACCTGACATTCCTGCAGCTGAGTCGTCATCAGTTAAATTTCCTATATTCCCTTGCAGCGGTTCTGGGAATTACAACAATAACCTGGTATTTGGCGGCACCCGGGAAGAAGGCCCAACAGCTATATATGAAACCTGGCGTAAGCCATGTGCTTTCCGTCGTTTGCTTGATGGGGGAGCAAAGTATGCAATACCATTTCCGGAGCTCTCCTTTGAGGATCGGTTTCTAAAGTCGGCGCCTGTATCTTTGCACAACACACGCTGGAGCTATATCAATAGTCTGCCAATTCCGGGCGAGCTAAAGGATACGCTGTTTCAACTAGGCCACGGCATAATCCAGGACGGAGGAAGCGAGACTATGTGCTACCATTGCCGTCAGCCCGAAACGGTAGCGCATATTCTAGGCGAGTGTTTGTTGTTTTCCAGCGTGCGCAGAAAGTTTCTTGAGCAGTGGATAATAATTGCACGCTGCATTAGACGCGATGTACGGCGAGAGCGCAAGAAGGCAGCACCCCAAAAAACTGATGCGCAGAAGAAACGGAGAAAGGCAACACCTACAAAAAAGGATGCAAATCATTGGCGCAAATGGAAAACCAGCAGCCCATGTCCAAACCTGAAAGCTCCATTGCCATCGGAAGTGCCTGTTTTTGAGAACTGGCTCATTCTTCCGTTTATAGAATGGAAGGCGTTCATGGATATAAACACCGAAACAGCCCTGGCATTTGTTGGAATTTTCAAGTATGCTGCCTGCCTGCTCGTGTGCATGCATTTGGAGGCGCGAGATGATGCTGTTCTCCGCGGTATTTGCTGGAGCGAGGATACTTTTTTGGATCGGTACAATGCAAAGGTTGCTCAGTACGCGACCGATTATGTGGATATTGGCAGCCCAATGTTTGACAATATTGATTTAATGGTTCTCCCGGTTGTTTAGTTTATTTTATATGTTTCTTTACGTTATCAAGCAAATTTATGTTAATTGAAATAGCAATTAAAGTTCGTGGTAACGTTTTCTAGCACACCGCAACATGTGGCCGTTGATAATTTGCACAAGCATAATTTGGCAGGCTTTGCAAAATGCGAGTATAGCGCGTAAACAGACGGAAAAGAATAAAGAGCATGCAAAACATGGCCGCTTCTACTTATATTATAGCCACAAAGCTGGAGTTACCAACCGTTTGGCTGAATATATTTAGAGCGAAATACCTTTTTTTGGTGCATAACAAACTTTTCGAGTTTTATCAGAGCTTATTTTATTACCTGCATAAAAATAAAGGCGCAGCGTTTGACACTGCATTAAGCGCAAAAAAAAATATTATGTAAAAAAAGTTCAAAAATATATTGGCAGTACCGCCCACTGCCGGGAGCTAACGCCTTTGTTGACGCAATGAAAGAGCATGAGCCTTCCAGTTGGAATTGAACCTGCAACCTCCTTGCAGAGATTACAAGTATTAGGCTGCGTCAGAAGACGCTAGCGACCAGCTACTAACTGGTGCTTCAAACACGTTTTACAGGAATTATAAACTGCACCAATCGTGCCATGATTGGCTGTGTTTCATAGATTGCTTTCCGCTTTTATTCCGCATTCCGGGGTTGGGGTTATTCCTTACTGCGTTTGATTGGTAGAAATGCCTGCATTATCGAACGCCTTTGCCAAAAATGCTCCTCAATCATTGCTCTTGTTCACGAGCGTGTCTAACTTTCTGCAACATTAATAAACATTTGATATGGTTGTGTGTTGGTGCTGATTTACAGCTGCTGAAATTTTATTCTAGCATTCTTAATTTTCTTTACAAACTATGTGGTAGACCACAGTTTTTATTAGTTAACGTTTAAATTTGGCACCGCATAGGCCCTTGCCAAACTTTCCAATTGGAATTTGCAATGGTTTTAAATTTTGTTACGTTTTTCCAACCTAACGCGTAGATGCGGTATTGAATAGATGAACATTATCCGTTATCTCTTAATAAATAATAGCAAATATTGGCAGTAGAAGTGCAGTATGTGTGTAGCTGTTGAAAACCAGTTTGTCCGCAGCCCACACGCTGTTGGGTAATTATTTCCACAGCCCATCATTTTAATTATTTCTTTAGTTCTCTTTTATCATCCAAATTGTTCACTAAATCTACCTCGTTTTTCTTAACTTGCCAAAACAAAAGCATTGGCGTCATTTACCTTATGCAGGCCAAGAAATAATCCCCTATCAAGATTAGACGTGATCATGCTCTTGTACGCGTTCGGTGCTGGTAACCGCTTGCCATCAAGCTCCTGTGTTAGTCTTGGCGCCTGTGAACATGGAAATTACCAGTCAACATACCAAAACAGTCAACTGGTGACGGATCCCGGCTTGGCAGGTATCATTGGAACCGCAAAAAAAAGCCCAGGCCGATGAACGTAACAGCGGCCCAATCAGTGGCCCGCTCATGGTGAAATTTCGGAAAACGTGAGTGCGCATGCGCCAACCCTAGTAAGCATTCCATTTTTAACAGATAATAACTCAGCAATGGTTAACGTGTCTATTTACCCATATACTTAAGTTGCAACATACAGCGTGCATACAACGGCAGCTCGGTTTGTAACATGTTTTCAGTATGATTGGCTTCCATTTTGTTTCTCTATCGGCACAACGGCATTCGGTAGCACAAGTAATGCCTAGAAATAGTATGCTTTGTGTCATGTTTCCAGCAATGGTTAGCGGCATGACTGCAAAAGCAGCCACATGTGCTTCGAAAAAAGTTTATAAAAATATAGCTCCAAATCTGTATTCGGGTGTAAATAATCGATGGGTTTGGTTATCAAATAGCAAGAATTTGAACAGAGCAGCGTGAAAAATATATAAAAACATAGAAGAAAAAAATAATCAGGTTGAAAAGCGCGTCTGCTATGTTTGCTTTAGAATATATGATTATACAATTAATATTAGCAGTTATCATGGATGCCGTCATGCTAAGAAACAGCAAAGTTCAGACTAACTCAACCCACATGAAACGGGGCATAACTAGGTGGGTATCGTTAGGCTCAGGAAAATGAGCCCAGTTTGATGATCTTAGCGGCGGCGCGAATGGCGGCCGGTCCACGGAAGAATCTTGAAAAAACGTGAATGCGCGTGTGCCAAAACATGTAAGAAAATGAGAGACAAAATATTGTGTTTCAATGTGTTTGCGATGTGTTTCAATGTAAATGGAATTCCGCGATCAATTTTCGTGCAGATCAGGCAAAATCATGGCCCCAATTGCGCCTTCAGAATGTTAGGCATGGACCAGCTCAGTCTACCAGCAACGGGGCATAACTTGGCAGGTAACGTTGGCACCAGAAAAATGCGCTCGGTTTGATGGTTATAATGGTGTAATAATAAGCGGGCCGCCCACGGAAGACTCTGTCAAAATGTAAAACACATGTGCGCCAGTACATATATAAAGAACATCGTGTTTGAACGCGTCTGCGATGTTTGCGTTTATAGAAGGAATTCTGCGGTCAAGATTGTTGCTAATTATAAATACCTATCTGTCTAGCGACAGTCAAGCATAGACCATCTTGGCTCACCGATGACAGGACATGACATGAATGGTATCGTTCGAATCAGGAAAATGAGCCCGGTTCAATGAGCGCAACGGCAAACTTATTGGCGGTATGTTCATGGCGGTGTCTTGGAAAACGTAAGCACGCGTGCGTTGTCCCCAACAATATATCACAGGCTATGGCGGATGGTGGCCCAGCGTCAGCTAGCATCATATTCATGACGTCAATTCTGACAACGACTTGCGCAACTTGTACAAATAATAATTACGGCGTTGAATACTGCAAAGAACGCACACGAAAACACTCATAGTAACAGGCAGGGAGCATAAAGCATCCAAGAATGCTGCCGATACTGCCTTGCAAACGGTTTGAAAAAGCACACACGAAAAAAATGGGGAAAGGCAACAGGCGAAACACAGCCAATCATGTGCGTTTCCTTCTGATAAAACTTGATGCATTTTTTTCTTTGCTGGCGAAAATGCGCTTTGAGGAGCACGAGCAAGATTTTGATGTGAAACCTCTTTCTCTTCCCTTTCTCTCCGCTTCCTTACTTTTGCGCTTTATTATTTCGTGGTGCTTGTGTTTTGTAAAAAAAAATGTCGAAAACGCAGCGTTTGTAGGTAAGGTTTGTTTGACGCGTCCGATTCGTTTTGCCACCGAGAAGTCGACGCCGAACTACACATATTATGCGCAAAACAAAAAAAAACTGTTCGCCGCTACTCGATGTCGCCTAACTGGACGTATTAGAAGCAAAAAAAAGCTCCGCACGGGACTTGAACCCGCAACCGCCACTTTTCTACCCATAAGGGTAGGAGAGTGGCGCGCTTCCGTTGCGCCAACGGAGCGTAGCTCCCGCCTTATGGGAGTGAAATTCGGCTACTAGCTCGACGAATTTTGTTAAGAAAAGAAGATTTTACAGCTATTATAAACCTAATAAACGTGTTAATGTACAATGCGTGCAATGGTGCAAAAAATATCTTGTGAATAGGCACATTTGTGCGAATATAACATAAGCATTATTGTTCAATATATGTCAGTTAAAAATTGGCGGCTTGGCATTGAAAAATTAGAAAAAAAAAATATAAAAGCAGCGTACATTATGCTGCAAACTAGCACATGTTTTTTTAATAGAATGTACAATATAAAAGAGGCAGCATTGCAAAAAATAAAATTACTAATTAATCAGGTCACTATGCAAGCAGTTTAAAGTACATGCTTTAAACTGGGGAAATACCGATGAATGGTTGTGCTTCATGTTGCTGGGTTGCCATGTGCCAGAAATGGGATGTTTGCATTGATTGGCGCATGCGAGTTTACGTTTTCCGAGATTCCTCCGTAGAATGAACACCCTTTTTTTCACCGTTAGGACCATCGAACTCGGCTCATTTTTCTTGTTCCAACGATGCCCGCTACGCCATGCTCCGTCATCTGTGGGCCGATCTGCCTTACGCTTGGCTGTCGCAAGACAGGTAGGTATTTATAATTAGCAACAATCTTAATCGCAGACGTTTGACTGCCAAACTAATTGTTTGCCGACGCGCTAAAACACGATGTTTTTTATATATGTATTGGCTTGCGCGAGTATGCATTTTCCGAGATTCCTCCGTGGACCAACTGCCACTCGCGCTGCCGCCAATATCATCAAACTCAACTAATTTTTCTTATTCAAAAGATACCCGCCACACCTTGCCCCGTTACCGGTAGGCCGAGCTGGTCCACACTTGGCTGTCGCTCAGCATGTAGACCTTTATGATTAGTTATAATCATTATCGCAGACTTTTGCCTGCCAAACTTATTTTTTGCAAGCGCGTTCAAACATAATGTTTCTTATATGTATTGGTGCACGCGCGATTACACTGTTACAATATTCCGCTGCAAGCAGGTCTCTAATCAATTCTCCGTTACGTTCATCAAACCGGGCTCATTTTCCGGTGCCAACGGTACGTTTTAAGCCAGGATCGGTCACCTGTAGGCTGTTGCTACGCATGTGGGCATTCCTCATTAGCAAAAATTTTGATTGCAGAATCCCAGCTTCAAAAATAAACATTGCGGACGCGTTTAAACACGATATCCTGACTTTTATATACAAATATGTAGTTGCACACATGCACTTGCGTTTACCAAGTTTTTTGCCATGGGAATAACGCTAATTGAACCGCTGTTGCACTTATTGAACCGAGCGCATATTTTGTAGTGCCAACGTTACTTGTCAAGCTGGGTTTTAATTCTTGTGGGCCGATACAGTCTAAACATCACAGGCGCATTTAAACACAATATCATGACTCTTTTTATATATGTATTGACGCACATGCACTCACGTTTTTCAAGACACTGCCATGAGCAAACCGTCAATGAATTTGTCGTTATGCTCATTAAACCGGGCTCATTTTCCTTGTTCTAAAAATTCCCTCCAAGCCAGGATCCGTCGCCTGTGGGCCGAGCTGGTTCACACTTGGATGACGCTCAGCATATAGGCATTTATAATTAGCAATAATCACTGCAGACGCTTTCAAACATGATGTTTTTTATATATGTTTTGGCGCATGCGCGTTTACGTTTTGCACAATTCTTCCGTAGGCACACCGCCATTCGCGCCACCGCCAGTATCATTAAACTCTGCTTATTTTCCTTGTTCTAACGACACCCATCAAGCCATGTCCTATTGCCTGTGGGCCAATCAGACCTGAACTTGGCTATTACTGTGTGTGTAGACATCCATAATCGGCAATAACCTTAATTGCATAATTTTATCAACATAAAAATGCATTGCGGACACGTTCAAACATGATATTCCTTTTCTTATTTTTATTTATGTATTGGCGCTCACGCGTTTACGATTTTGCAAGTGTCTCCCTTGAGTGACCCGCTAATTGTACTACCGTTATTACCATCAAACCAAGCGCGTTTTTCTGGTGCCAACGATACCTGCCAAGCCATGTCCCGTCACCTGTGGGCTGAGCTGGTCTATGCTTGGCTGTCGCTCAGCCTGTAGACATTCATAATTAGTTATAATCTTTATCGCAGACTTTTGCCTGCCAAACTTATTTTTTGCAAGCGCGTTCAAACATAATAATTCTTCCACATGTATTGGTGCACATGCATTAATGTTTTTCGAGATTTCTTCCGTAGGCACACCACCATTTGTGCCGCCGCCAAAAATATTGAAATTGGCGCATTTTTCTTGTTCCAACAATACCTACCAAGTTTTGCCCTGTCATCGGTGGGCCATGCTGGTCTACGCTTGGCTAACGCTAGGCATGTAGGCATCCATAATTAGCAATAATCATTTCAGATGCGCTCAAACATGATGTTCCTTTTATATGTATTCGCACTTACGTGTTTATGTTTTGCAAGGCACCGCCATGAGCAAGCCGCCATTTGCGCCGCCGTTAGAATTATTGAACTCGGCGCACTTTTCTTGTTCTAACAATACCCGCCACACAATGTCCTGTCACCTGTAGACTGAGCTGGTCTAATCTTGGTTGTCGCTTAGCATGTAGGCATCCATAATAAGAAATAATTATTGCAGATGCGCTCAAACACTATGTTTCTTATTTATGTACTGACGCACACGTGTTATACATTTTGCAAATGACTCCCGTGGGCGGCCCACTTATTGTACCACCGTTACTACCATCGAACTGAGCGCACTTTTCTGATTACAAAGATATCTGCAGAGCCAGATTCCGTTGCCGGCTGGTCAATCCAGTTCAAACTTGGTTGTCGCTCAGCATACAGAAATTTATAATCAGCAAAAATCTTGATTGCAGAATACCAGCTACATAAGATAACATCGCAGACATGTTCAAACACAATGTTTCTTGTATATGTATTGGTACATGCACACTTACGTTTACCAAGTTTCTGCTGTGGGCAAAATGGTAATCGAACTGCCATTGAACTCATTGAACCGAGCACATTTTTTGGTGCAAATGGTACTTGCAAAGCTGGGTTTGGTCACCTGTGGGCTGAATCAGTCTGGATATGGCTGCCGCTGGTTGTGAAGGCATCCGTGATTAGTGTTAATCTTGGTTGTGAAATTCTAGCTGGTAAAATACATATCGTTGCTGCACTTTTCATCCATGTTCCTTTTTTACTTTTATGTATTATATATTTTTAGACTGCTCAGGACGTGCTTTTGCAGCTTGAGAACCAAATTTATAATAGTGGCCATATTTTTATAATTTTTTTGGAGCACCCGCAGCTGCTTTATAGCAATGTCATTGGTCATCGCTAGGATACAACACTTATTTCTATCAGCCGCTGTTTTTGCTGCAAATTACAGCTGTGCTACGTTAATCAATAAAACATGCTGCTGAATCATTAACAGCCAGAAAATGTGATGCTCAACTGGATTGACGCATGAATGTTTACGTTTTCCAAGTCTCTTCCGTGGGCTAGCCGCTGATTGTACCACCGTTAATACCATTAGACTGGATGCATTTTTCTGATTCCAATAATATCTACCAGGCCATATCCAATTGCAAGTAGACTGAGCAGATATTAACTTGAATGTTGCTGGACATGTAGGCGTCCATAATAAACGCTAATTTTGTTTAAATTTTTTGACATGCTAAAATAAACATTCTACATTTTTTCATGTCATTATATTGCATAACTTTTACGCTAATATTTTTCTCACTCTTATTGCAATGTACAGACTACTTTTATAATTTTGTAGCCAACTATTGTTAGAAACACAATACTATTAATGATTATATTATGTGCTGCTAAAAGCTGTCATTTTCGGTTGACATATTAGACTGAGCTAATAGAAAGACAAAAAGAGAGCAAACTACAGAAAAACATGACACTATTATAACTGCCATTTATATACATGCAATATGTTTTAACTTAATAGGATACTGATAAATAGTTATGCTGCCTATTGCTGGGCCGACATCCACTAAAAACTGTAGTTATAAACGTAATTGGCGCTTGTAAATTAATGATTTCTAATATTCTGCCATGAGTACACTCCCAATCAAACGGTCGTTATGCCCATTGAACCGAGCGCATTTTTCTGGTGCAAATGGTATTTACCAAGCCATACCCTATTGTGTATGGGTTAAACCAGACCAAACGTGGCTGTCGCTCAGCAGGTAGGCATCCACGATAAGCAACAATCTTGGTTGCATAATTCCAACTACAAAAGCAAACACTGCAAATGTGTTCAAACTTGATATTCCTTTTCTCTTTTTTTTTTATATGTGTATTGGCACACGCGCATTAACGTATTTAAAAATTTCGCTGCCGATAAGCCTCCAATTGGACTACCGTTGCGCTCATCGAACCGAGCACATTTTTCTCGTGCCAACGGTACCTGCTGAGCCGGATTCTGCCATCCGTGGGCTAAACCAGTCTGAACATGGCTACTACTAGGCACATGCAGGGCCAATGAACTAATGCCTGATTAGTGCAAGATTTGATTGCAAAATTCTGGCTGCTAAAATGCATATCGTTGCTGCACTTTTTTATCGCTATTCTCTTTCTTATTCTATGTTATTATATATTTGTCATGCTACGCTGGGTGCAACCTTGCTGCCCAATAACCAAATTCAACACATGCTTATATTCGAATTTGCAACTGTCACCATATTTTTATGAACACTTTTTTGCAGTGCTTGTAGCTACCCTTAAGGTTGTGTCATTAACCATTGCTAGGACACCACACTTTTTTCTTTCAGCCACCACATTTGCTGCTAATTACAGCCATATTGTGTTAATTAATTAAAAAATAAAAGTTGCAGCTGAATTGCCATTTGCTGGAAAATGTAATATTGTCATGGCTTGGCACACGCACATTTACATTTTCCAAGATACCTTTGCAAGCAGGCATTAAACT